AACGGACAGTCACACACACACACACACACACACACACACACACACACACACACACACACACGTCGGCTCACTTCCTTGGCTACCGAAATGCCAGCTGTTGCCTGTCTCCCGTTAAGTCCCACTGCCCTAGGTACTTCAAAGGACAGCCCCGCTTTAAAACACCAACCTCAGAGTCGTTCTGCAAACATTTCAAAGGAAGGTTACCTATTCCCTGCACGGCCCTTGCCATTTTCTTTCCCATTTGAAGCGTCAACCCAATAATTTGGAAAAAAAAAAAAAATCCAGAAAAGCCTTCTTACTTACCAAGACTTCCTTCTCCGAAGAGAAAGTAACCTCTGAAGTGCTCTGAAAAAAATAAGTGCTTGACCAAGCCCAGGCCTTAGCCCGGGAACCGCGGTGCGTGAGCGGTTTGGCGCCATCTCTTGGCCCTCGGTGGAATTACCCCACGTATAAAATCATTCCAAAGCAGAGCTGCAGTCTAAATCAGTATCTAGATCCTCGAAGCATCTAAGCAAGCAAATTATGAACGTTTGGGGATTACTAGAAATATTTATCTAAGGTACGTTTCGTCTTCCTTGCGTTTCCGGGCTGAATTTTAAATCACTATTAGAATAGGAAGTTACGAGACTCGGTCAGTTCTCTGCTACCACAGTCCTTCACATTTGTCCCCCAAATCCGCTGCTGCCGTTCAAGCATGTTTTGAGAGTCCTGAGACTGACAGAGACACTTTAAAAATAAAATAAGGCACCTGGTTTTCTGTTTGGAAATTTTTGTGGTTGGTACACATTTAGCCTGACTTCACGGTCTGACGAACATTTGATACTATTGGGTGTTCTTAGTTTTAATCCTGGACGAGCAAGCAACGCTGGGATTCTTCTATACCAACTTAGAAATTCTAAAGACCATTTCAAATTGGAGAACACTTGCAGTCATGGCCAAAAGGCAAAGAGAGTGAAGGGCTAGCCAGACACTTTTAAGAAGCGTCCCTGTACACTTGTTCGGCTTTTGCAAAGAACTGGATACATGAGCTACACGACCATCCCCTAACTGATCTCACCAGCTGCCATTCTCCCATCTTTACAAAAAAAACGAACAAAACAAGTTAAGACTGCACATTGGCCGGTGATAAGCATGGGTAGACATTACTTCTGCTTTCAGGAGGAAGGGAAGAGCAACCTCTTACTGTTCATCCTTACTCACCAGACATAGAGGAAGTCTTCTCAGACTGGGAGTGATGGGGTAAGGCTAGCAGCTAGTGAGCGGCGGGTATGAGGGGAGGCACTGGAGACCTGTTTGGAGAGGAACCAGTGA